CCAAGGTTTATGTATGCTCGTATCTGTTTGTGTCTGCAGATCCCAGAATCTATGTCCTGGCATTTATGTGCTGCAGTAACTGTATTCCAGTGTGTGAAGACTTTCCAGTGTTTGTATGACCCAGTTCATGAATACCCCAGAGTCTGTGTGTGCCAGTGTCCGTGTGACACGATGTCTGTCAGTGTCAGTGTGTGTGTGTGTGTGTTTCTCAGTGCCTGTATGTCCCAGGGTGTCCTTCAGTTTTTGTGCATCAGTGTCTCCGTTTCCAAGCATCTGAGTGTCTCAGTGATGTACCCTCCAGAGTCTCTGTACCTCCAGGTGTGTATATGTGTCAGGGGTATGTTCCCATGTAGATGTAGCTAGATGTTTCTGTATGCCGGTGTCTGTGTTCCCCGATATCTCCAAGCTCCCATTCCTGTCTTTACCCCTGGTTATGTGCCAATGTCTATGAGTCTCACTGTTCTTGCTGTTTGTGTGTTCCAGTGACTGTGTGTCACAGTGTATATTCCCCAGTGTCTGTAGATCACGGCCTCTCTGTACTTAATACCTGCATGCCCCCGCATCGATTTATAGCCTATCTGTTCCAGGGCCCACATAGCTCGGTATCTGTCCCAGGATTTGAGCTCCTGGGTTTCTGTATGTTCCAGTGTTTGCATACCCTGGCGATCTACACGTTGCGCTGTGTCCCTTAGTTTCAGGATCCATTGGTGTCTCTGTGTCTGTGCTCCAACTGTTGATGTGTCACAGCATCTCTGTTCCTAGCAGTCCACGTCTGTACGAGTGTGCTTCAATGAGTATATAGCTCGGAGTGTGTCCTGCTTTTGTGTGTCTCAGTGTCAGAGTCCCGCAGTGCACGTGTATTCCAACGTTTGCTTGTTCCACAATGAATCTCAGTGCCTGTGTGTCTCAGTGATGGTTATACCCTTTGTCTTTGCGTCTCAGGGTCTGTGTGTTCCAGCATTAGCACATTGCTTGCTCTGGCTCTGAGCTTCAGTCGTTTTGTGCCTCAGATTCTGTACTCCACTTCCCTAAGTCACGCCTCAGGCCCTGTAGTCCCTCCGCCTGTGCATCCGTGTGTGCTCCCTTTGGTTCTGCGTGCCAGTGTTGCTGCGTGTCCGACATCTGTTCTGGCATCAGGGTATTTGTCCATGCACCCGTCTGCGTGTTCTAGCAGTTGCCTGTGGTCCCCTTTGGCCATATCCACCATGATCTCTGTATGCTAAGTGTCCGGCTGGAATTCCAGGCTTACATACTACAATTTCCAACAGTTTATACGTCCCAGTGTCTCTTTGAGTGTCTGTGGTTTCCTTTCTCTATTGTGGTCCCGTATCTGTATATCCTTGGTTCTCTGTTAAGTCTGTGAGTTTCAGTGTCCCCCATTCTTTAGGCATCCCTGTGTCATATATCCTGCAAGTCTCCGTGTTCCAGTGCTGGTATTTTCTGTCTCTGGATGTGTGAGAAGACCATTTCTTACTTCTGTCTTTGTGTCCGTGTCCTTGACGTCTGGGTTTTAGTGTCTGTGCAAACTTGTCTTTGAATATATTTGAGGGTTTTTTATATCCTCTGTTCTAGCGTCTGTGTCTCCCAGTTTCTGTGTGTCCATGGATCTGTATTTCTGAGCATGCACTGGGCTTATGTGCTGGAGCACACGCATGTACATGTGTGTGTCTCTGTGTGTCTGTCTGTGTGTGTCTGTGCATGGGTTTGTCTTTGTTCTGCACATCGCTGAGTTTTTGTGTGTTCTAGATTCCTTATCTGTCCGTGATTCTTCACGCGTTCCCTAGTACTTTTATGTTTCGAAATCTCTGTGTCCTTGAATGTTTGTACATCCCCAAGTCTGCATGGCCCTGAATCCTTACAGGTCTCTGGTCCTCACAGGCGACCTAGCAGCAATGCGTCTCTCTGGGTGGGTACCCATAGACTTTTGTGTTCAGCTGTCAATTGCTTTCTGTCTCTTTGCATCACCGAGTCTTTGTGTGTCCCCGAAGGTCGGTGATCCAATGTCCATGTGCACATCGCAGTCTTCTCGCGTCTGGGTGTCCCTGAGCCTCTGTGTTCCAGTGTCTGTATGCTCACGGATGTGCATATGCCTCATTGGGCGTGCCTGGCGTGGATGAGTCCTCGAGTCTGTGCATCTCCAGAACATTGCTCTCCGCCTCCACGTCTCCACCTGTGTTCTGGCACTTATGTTCATCCCCACCTGTTTCTCCCATAGTTCACCAACGCCTGTGTATTATTGTTTCTCTTTGTTACTGTGGCTCCCCTTAAGTTGTTTCCTTACTTGATGTCTTTTAGTCCCTGGGTCATTTTCCCGGGTCCTCGAGAATAGGTTCTTGTTCGAAGGAGTTGGTGTGTCTGGGTGCCTCTCTGCATCTATTTCTTTTTCTGTCTCTCGATGTCTCGGGCTTTGTTTTTATTTGACTATGACCTCTGTGTCCCTGCTTTTCTGTTTGTGTCTGGTGTTGACTCGGCCTGTGTTTAGACGTTTCCCGAAAGCCTCATGCGGTTTTAAGTGGGGCTCTTTCAGAGGTGGCTGAATCTCGAGTGTGTGACTGGTTCACGCGATGCTAGGCTCAAGGCCACTAGGATGAAGAGGGTGAGTGCTACCCACCCTAAGTGGTCTGAGTAAGATCAAGGGGGCAGGAAGACAGTGCTAAGGTCCCTTGTTGCTTTTGCTACCCTCACCGTGCCATAGACGCGTTCTCCTCTGGAAAGCCCCTCTGCCTTGCCAACCTGCCCCTGAGCCAGCCAGGTGTGGACTGACACCGCTTTGAACTCTGGGCTAAATAAACCTTTCCTCCTTTAACTTTGGGTGTCGGGTATTTTGTCTCAGCAACGTGAGGAAAGTGACCAACACAGGTGTCCATATCCATGTCTTTTTATTTTTGAGCTGCTATCTTTCTGTGCCTGGGTTGAATTCGGCGTCTCCATCCTTGCACTTGTGGCTTTGGTTGCCTGTTTGTCACTATTCCTGGTATCACTGGGTGCAGCTTGAGTCGGTGTTTTTGTATCCCCGCCTCTTTGGAGAGATTTCCTTGTCATTGTACTTCTGCCCATTTGCTTATATTCAGTGCCCCTGGGTTTCTTTGTTCCTGGTTCTGTCTCTCCAGATGTGTTCCTGTGTTTCTGTCCCTGTGTCTAACCTGTATCTTTTTAGAGGAAACTGGATGCATTCCCGTGTCTCCTTGTCCTGGTTCCTCCCTCCCTGTATTCGTGTGCTGCCACCTGTCACTATGTCACAACATTCCCATTGTACCCGTTGCCTGCGCCTTGCCTATCCTTATGTCTGTTACCTGGCCAGATCCCTATCTCTTTACTGGTGCTTGTCACCCTTCAAGTGACTGAGTCTCCCTGTGTTTGTCTCTGGATCTCTGAAAATACGCACCCACGCTTCGCCGAGCATATCCGTCTGTGTTGGCCTATGCAGATCTGGTTCACTCTAAATGTCTTCCTTTCTGTCTGCCTATGTGCCCGAGTCTTCATCACCAAATAAGAGTCTGTGTACTACGTCCATTTCTAGATCTCTGTATGTCCCTGGTCCAGTGTCTTTGTGGTTCTTTCCTTATCCCCTCTATGCCCTCAAGTCTGTGTGCTGGTGTATCTGTATGTTTTTACCTTTATGTCGCATAGATATGTATATATCTCAGTGTGCAGGTTTTTATGTCTTAGTGTCTTTTCATTGACCACTGGATGACCTCCATTGGGTGAATTGAGTGATCTAGGTTTTGGTCTCCTCGCTTCTTTGTGACTGGGACAGAAAGTCAAAATCACGGGGACACCAGGGTCCAACAAGAGATCCTTTTCAAATGGGAAGGGGACTGTGGGAAAGGGGAGGGAAGGAAGGAAAAGGGGAATTCAGAACAGAATTGAGATCTGTTATGTACATGTTCCAACTCCACCATGTTGTGACCGCTATGTCATGCAAATGTGTACTAAAAAAAGTTTAAGAAACAAGAGAGACCGCCCGTTTATGTTTTTCTAGGTTTATGTCTCTGATGTGGCCACTCTGGCTCTCTGTCTCTTTCTTTCTTTGTATGTTTGCGTGTTATGATGTCTACGGTTCTATGCTGTGAGATCTGTGTTTCTCTTGTTCCCGTACGTCTGTCTCTGTACGTCCAAGTCTATGTCTTTGTTGCTGTCTTTCTTCGTGTGATCCTGTGTCTTTGCGTGTGAGTATGTGTACGTGTATGCCTACCGCTGTTTCAAGGGAGCCTTTTTGGTTCGCCTGTTTGTTCATTCATTTATCCATTCTTTGAGCATATTTACTAGGAAACTTTCTGTCTGCCTATGGCTACATAAATGGTTCAGACAAATGTCTTTGCCTTGAAAGAGCTTACAGTATAAATCAGGGGTCGAGGTGGGGAACCAGATGATTATTATACAGTGTAAGTGCTGTGAGCTTGGAGGGGATGCCAGAGGGCTACGGGAACTTGAAAGAAGGGACCAAACTCGATCTCAGGAAGGCCTCATGCATAGCTTCCTCTTAGAGGAGGTGACAACTAAGACTTGAAGGATGAATTAAAATTTCCCACATGAATCCAAAGTAAAATGTCCCACGCAGAAGAAACAATACATATAAAGAGCCTGTGGTGGGAGACAGCGTGGTTTGTTAGCAAAACCCCAAGAGCCTGGACTACATCTTGGGAGTCAAGGAAAGTTGTGGGCAGGACTACTGAGGGACTCCATCAGTTTTCCGTTTGTTGGTTGATTTGCTTCTTTGAAGGAAGTCACTTCTAAGGCTGCTGTGGATTATGGATTTGGAGGGAACAAGATCAAAGACAGGAGGGACTGTGAGGAAATGGGGTTTGGTTAAGTCTGTTGGCCCACAGTTCTGCATGTCTGTATGTTTGCATTTCCTGGTATACGTGTCCATTAGCACACGTGGGAATCGTGTCCCTACGTGTACCTCCGCATGCCAGGGTCCTTGTCCTAGGCTCACCCCATTCCCTGGCCTCTGGATCTTTCAAATTGACATCCGCTGCGCTGGCGTTCAGGAGCCATCACAGAACATGGGCTGGGTAAGCCTGGCCCAGCAACCGCTTTACCTGAGAGGACGTCACTAGCCAGCAGGAAGCCCGGTAGCCCTGTTGCGTTGAGGATAGAGCCTAATTTTACATCCTGGAATGCAATTCTGACCGCTCCAGTTCCGGCTCCTCCAGTGTCCATTTCTTCCCTCCACATTATTTCTCAGTCTTACGCACGATGGGTGGCTCTCTCTCCTCCAAGAGTTCAGTCCTCTTGAGCTCTGTGCTTAGGCGAGGCCTCCGCTCTTGGTTTCTCTAATGCCTTGGGAGGCCTTCGGTCAAACACTGATCCCTCTTTGTGGTCACCATCCTCGTCTGCATCTTTCCTTTACCCAGACCAGGAGCTCCCTAAGGGCAGAGCTTGGTTCTGATTCTCCTCTGTGATTAGGAAGGAATATAGGGTGCTGGGGTCCCACTGACGTTTCATCTTGGTGAAGGTCTTTGTTGGGACCAGTGTTCCCTGGCTCCTTTCTGCCTCAGCAGCACTTGGCCCCAGGTCTTGGGCTGAGGGACTGAGGCCTGAGTCTTTGGCCACCCATACAGAATCCCAAGCAGGGTAGCTGCAGGGCCCTGCAGTGCCCGTAGCAGTGCCCGAGTCTGAGGAACACAAATGAGGGGCCAAGACGGAAGGTGAGGTGGGCTGCGGCAGCCACGTGGAGCTCCGCTTGGGGCTTGCTCACCAGGCCGGGCTGGTCTCAGGACAGGTACAAGATGTGGCACCACAGATATGGCTGACAGTGGTAATGCAGGCCCGGGGTTTGAAGGCAGTGACTGTGATGATCTGGCAGTCTGTGCGAGTCTGGTCTCCCTGGCCTGGTCTTGGTGGTGCCCCAAGCACAGGTTTTCACCCGGGCATCCACATAGTCACTCACGGCACAGGCAGGGATGAGATGTTGAGGCCCCGTTCTGGATGAAGTGGTGCAGATTTGTGGCTAAAGGGCTAGCTCTTGAGAGAAAATGCTTCTACCGCCACCCGCCCCGGGGAGGGTCACGCAGTATGTACGCACTGGCTCACCCCAGCGTGGCTTTTTGCATGTACATGTGTGTGCGTTTGGCTCTGAGTGGGAAACTGGTGTGTTCGGCAATATTCAGGTGACTTTTGGAGAAGGTGGCATGTGAGAGTCTCTGTTTATGTTTCTCGCCGTATGCTTATCTGTCCCTGTGGATGTGTTGCTGCTCTGTGCCATGATGCAATAGGATGTGTTGTGTCTGAATGTGCTTCAGTGGATATCTTGGTGGTATTGCTGTATGAATGTGCGTCAGTGGATAGCTTGGAGCTATTGCTGTATGAATGTGCATCAGTGGATAGCTTGGCGGGTATTGCTGTAGGCCAGTATGTTTCATATGTGTAAAAGTGGCAACGAGTGCCTGCTCCTGTGTGTGCTGAATTCCTGGGGACAGAGGTGAAGCTGAGGGCACCGGTGCTTTGGTGCCTGGGTGTTTTGCTATGCCTGTTACTGCGTGCATTGGGGCATGTCTTCTGTGTCATGCTATGTCTGCGTGCATATTTCTGGCGTGGGAAGTCTCAAGACGATTTCCTGGAATGCTCTGATGTGCCCGTATCCAGGAGAATCTGGCTGGTTATCTGGGTGTGTTTGTGTGTGTTTCCAAGTGTATTCTTGTGTGTCGGGGAGGTGCTAAGTGTCTGGAATATTGATGTGAGTGCATTCAGCTGGGGTGGTGCGTGGAGATGGAGGCCTCGGAGATCTCACCCGACTTCGGGTTCTCTCTAAGCTGTAGCATCCAGTGCGAAGCAGAGCCTCTCTTCTGAGTGTGGGATGTGGATCATAAAGCGGGGGTCCTCCGCTCAGTGCAAAGCAGAACCTGCATCTCCGAGGTTTTGATCCTGGGTGCAATGGGAGCGAGGAGAGGGCAAGCGGGGGAGGAGGAGAAAGGTACAGGCCACGTCTATCTCCCCAGAGCAAGCCTGACTCCAGTCCCAGTGCACAAACTGTCCCGTACTCAACCAAGAAGACCACGGGCTGGCCAGCTTACCAGAGGATGAGAAGGTGAAGGTATTTGGCCAAGTGCCTCCGAAGGAGAGAGAGCGCCCGAGTTGGAGAGGGAGTGATCTCAAACACATTCCTGGGACCGGTAAGACTTCCCTTGGCCTCTAAACCAACTCGTGCCAGGTAAGAGCCAAATTCTCGACTACAACGTCTGAGGCTTTTCTGGAATCTCGCCCCCACCTAGCTCTTCGTCTGGTCTTTGTGCTCCAGCTCAACGGAAGCGACGATTCTTGTGAGGGTGTGCCTTCTCTTGTGAGTGACTGTTTGTGCCTGTTTTTCCCACCACCTGGAGTATTTTCCTTTTCCTTGACTATCAGAGATCAATTTTTGTTATCCTTCAAGGCCAGCTCAGTAAGCAGATTAATAATTAAGGGAGTGACTTCGTTACAAAAGCGATCTATTCTGGCCGCCTTGCTCTGTTCCACCACATACCGCCACTACCGAGAGGTCCAGGGACTCTGCAGAGAGCTCATCAAACGAAGGAGGGAGGCTCTCAGCGGACGCAGGCTCTGAGCCTCAGACCTCCCTGCCTCCAGCACTGTGAGATGAGTGCACCCTTACTCTAGGAATGACCAACTCTGTGGCATTGTTATCACGGCCACAAATGGACGTAACGGCTGTAGTTCTCGCTTGCGAGATCTGGGATAATTTGTTACGTATCAGCAGAAAACTGATACACCAGCCCTGCCCTGGGCCTCCACAGTTTCAGTGAGAATCCTAAGTGGGTGGAAATGAAGGCTCGGGGACTCATTGCCAGGAGAGCGCCTGACTCACCTTTCGCTAGCCTCCCGGAACTTCTATGAGATTCCGTGCTGTCCCCAGCTCCTCTCTGCATCTCCTCAGACTCACCATCCCACCATCACCAACCTTCCTGCCGAACGCAAAGAATTGAGAGAAATCCTTCACATTCCCGGGGCAGAGATACCATGGAACCAGAGCTCTCACTGGCGTCCCTCACTGATCTGCCCGTTTTCAGGCCTGATACTTCACTTTAGCCACAGTTTCTTAGTCTTTCGAGTTCAGATACAGCTCAGAGTTCTTCCACATAGCATTTGCATACTGATTTCCTTATCCACTTGCTCAGGTAGTGCTTAGGCATCAAGGTTCAGGTGATGAAAAAGGCAGGCCTGCTTTCCTACCGGGTGAAGCTCGTGGTTCCGTGAAGGAGGCACAGATGAATGAAGTCATAAAAGTATGCATGGTGATAAATGTTTTGCCCAAAACAGAACTGACTGACTGTGGATATATTAGAGGCTTGAGATGACCTGAAGGGAGACGCTGGGTAAGGGGATCTGATCTGAGACCTAAGGCATACGCCAGAGGTTTAATGACAATAGAAGTGATGAGGATAGTAGGAAGGAGCAGGGCAAGGCAGACCTGGCAAATATCAAGCAGAGCAGAGGGATTAACTGGAAAAATGGCCCTGAGCCTTGGCTTGAGGGGATGCGTTGTGCCTACGGGAGAACAGAGACAAGTTCAGCGAGTCTGGCTTTCAGAGAAAGAGTAAAAGACGGGGAGGAGGTGAGGTCAGAAAAGTGAGGGGCAGGGAGCACATTATGCAGAGCCTCGTAAGCCACGAAGAGGACTTTGGCATTCATTCCAGACGTCATGGGAAGCCCTTGGGGGCTGTTAATCACAGAAGGAACATGAAGTGATTTTTGCCTTTAAAAAACTCCTTTGGGAGCCAACCAGCCTCTTTCACAAATGGTGTTGGAACAACTGGATTTCGACCTGGCAAAGAATAAAAAGAGACCCTCTCTGTCACCATGCACACAACTAAAATCCAAGTGGATTAAACATGTAAATATTAAAACACAAACATTAAACTTGCTGGAAGAGAAATTAGGTAGAACTCCTGAAGATATTGGCACAGGAAAAGACTTTATGAACAAATCCTCAGTAGCAGGGGAACTAGCGCAATGAACTGACAACTGGGGAGCCGCCTCCGCGCCTGCTTCTGCCTTCAGGGCTCCTGCCGCCTCCTCCACCTTAGCCCTCACTTCGTGGATCTGTCCCTCCAGCACATGGGCTGCAAGCCACACCGCAGCCTCTCCCCTTAAGCCCCATCAGGCCATCCAGGTCTTCTTCCTCCAGCCGACACAATCCGGGCAGACGGACCACGAACCATCGGTGCAGAAAGCCAGGCTGTCAGAGAAGGTCGAGCGCTGAGACGACTTGAAGAGCACGACAGAGCCAGGAAGAACGTGACGGAGCCGAATGAGCCACTCTCCAACGAAGAACGGAACCTCCTGCCTGTGGCCTATACGAAGAATGAGGTTGTGGTGTGCGGCGGCGTGGAGCAGCAGCGTGGAGCAGCAGCCTTGAGCGGAAGATGTCTGCAGATGCTAAGGAGAAGATAGAGATGGTTGGTGCCTAGCAAAAAAAAAAAAAAAAAAAAAAATGAAAAGGAGCTGTAGGCCGGGTGTCAGGATGCGCTGATCCTGCTGGATAACTTACTACCTGATCAAGGGTAGCAGTGAGACCCAGTTCGAGAGCAAAGTGTTCTACCTGCAAACGCAGTGGGACTATTACCGCCAGCTGGCCGAAGTGGCCGCTGGTGCGAAGAGGGTGACTGTCCTGGAGTCGTCTGAAGAGGCCTATAGAAGAGTGCATGAGACCAACGAGGAGCATATGCACCCTACCCACCCCAGCCGACTACTCCGTTTTCTACTGTGAAATCCAGAGCACCCCAGAAAGAGCAAGCGTACCACTTGGCCAAGACCGCCTTCCATGACTCCATCGCCGAGCTCACCACTCTGAAGAAGGATTCCTGCAAGGACTGCACTCTCATCATGCAGCTCCTGAGTGACATCCAAACGCTCTGGACAAGCGGTCAGCAAGAGGAGGGTGCAGAAGGCACCAATCAGGGCACCCAGGTGGACTGGCAGCGCCGGCTGATGCTGTTACTGCAGTCTTTATTTTTTTTCCCATGAGTTGGGGTTGGGTCGGGGAGGGAAAGGGAGGCTGACCTCCCCAGGGAGAAACCCACCACCAGTCCTGTCTTGGATCACCTCTTCAACATGTTTGCCAAAATACCACTAGTGGAAAGTCAGGCTAGCTGTGCTGTTATTGGAGTAGCAGCCTCACGTGGGCTTACGGACTGTTCTGTAGCAAGTGTTCTCCACACAGGTGGAGCTATGTCTTTAATTTTACTTCTTGCTGGACGATAAATGCTTCCGATGATAAGACGTAAATGCCATGGCCCTCATTCAGTGAGTTCTGTGGTTCCAGTAGGGCTTTTTATGTACATATACCCTTGTCTTAAGGTTTGGGTACATTTTCTCTCTCCTCTGTTCCAGCTGTGCATTTCTTTCAGGGTGCACCCTACCAGACACGGCAGAGTTTAAATCCCAAAGAGGCAGGCTTGGGGCGTAAGGCGTACTCACCCTTGTGGTTTAGGCCTGGCTGGCATTTTGAAGTCTGATAAGTGACAGTATTAACACCACATTGCAGTTTACAGTATTTCTACATTACACACATGCGTGACGTTGATTGTGAGTTTTCCTTTGCTAGCAGTTTTGGCTTTCCGTCCTGATTCAACTGGATCCAGGTTCGTTTTACTGTTTATCTGTCTCCTAGGCTAAAAGATGTGCCTGAGGAGAATCAAAGCTTCTTTAGGTTTTGGTCAGGTGGCTGTGGGATCTTTGTCTTCTTTCCTTCCTCTTAATGTGAACCCACCATGAAAGTTACTAATAATTGTAATAGAAACGTTAAACATCACAACATAGGGAAAATTCAGGTCTGTATGTCCTTTATCTTATGTTGGTGTCTCTGAAGACTCCTGTCTCAGCCGCCACAGCCCCTTCCTCAGGGATCATGCTACCACGTATTTCCCTCTGTACTGAGCCTTCCCTGTTGCGCTCGTGCCAAGGTACGCTGGACTTGGGCAGGCAGTGGGATTGGAGAGGCTGGGTGGGCGTCTCGAGAAAGTTGATGCAGTGCGGGAAGTCAGGTGCTAGAAGCTGAGGAGGTAGAAAACCCAGTAGGAAGAGCGTCGTTCAGAGACGTCTTTCCGTCGTTAGGAGCCGCGCAAGTGTGTCTTTCCCTGAAACACTCCTTTCCCCAGTCCGTATAGGAAGAAAATTAAAAATCATTACCAGGTTGTGAATATGTAATGTCTGTTTGACCGAAACTTTCCCTCTGTTTTTTTTTTTTTTTCTCTTCACTGAAGGCATAGAAGTCAGAGATCTATTTCTCTTTCCCAGTCAGGGCACACATTGCAATCTGAAGGAAAGAAACAAAGTTGCTATTTCTGCAAGGTTGTTTTCAGTTAGCAGTAGCTCCCTCATTCTCTTTTGGGATAAATACGTCTGTAACATGACCTGTATCTGTGTCCTGTCGCTTTTCTTCTCGTCAAATAAAAACAATAACCATGTGGACTCCTAAGATGGGTAATAACAACAAAAGAATCAACAACTTGGGATCTCATCTTATTGGAAAGCTTCTGCGCTGCAAGAGAAACCAGCAGCAGAGCTAACAGACGACCTACAATGTGGGAAAATGCTTTTACCAGCTGCTCCTCCGACAAAGGTATACTTTAGAATATATAAGGAACTCAAAAAAATCAGCCCCCCCAAATATAAAGTCCCAATTCCAAAGTGAGCATCTGGAATGAACAGACATTTCCCAGACAAACAAGTAAAAGCTGCAAATAAACATAAAGAAATGTTCAACACCACCAGTCATTTGAGAGCTGCAGATGCAAACCACACTGAGATTCGATCTCGCCCTGGAAAGAATGGCTGCTATCAAGAAATCAACCAATACCAAATGCTGGTGGGGCTGTGGGGAGAAAGGAAACCTTCTCCACTGTTGGTGGAGTGCAGACTGGTGCAACCACCGTGGAAATCAATATGGAGATACCTCAAAACATTAGGATTCGAGGTTCCATGTGACCCGCCTCTTCCTCTGCTGGGATTTTTTCTCAAAGAGTTAAAAGAATCATACCACAGAGATATATGCACACCCATGTTTATAGCGGCACAGTTTGCAATAGGTAAAGCTTGGAAGCAGCCCAATTGCCCATCAGCTTGAGACTGGACAAACAAGATGGGCTTTGTAAAAAAATATATAAAATGGAATACTACTCAGCTGTAAAGAATGAGATACTATAGATGTTTATAGCTAAACGGATGCACACTGAGGCCGGACTCTTAAGTGAGATAAAAGGACACACGTGTGTAAATACGGGATAGATTCTCTGGTGTGAGAATCCAAAAGCGTGAATAAGGATCAAAATGTAAAAATGATAATATGAACTGGGAAGAAAAGGTCTAAGGGAGTAGGGGAAGTGGGAGGGGTAGGGGAAAAGAAAAAAAACAAGAGAAAATGACAAAATAGAAAGAACTCTCTGTAAATAAGGAAGGGTGGAGGTGATGAAGGGAGGGCAGGGGAACGGGCAAAAATAAAACAACCAGGATACGTCATGTACGAGTTCCCAATGATGAAAGTAAATGCATGGTATTATTAAAATGTACCAATAAACTTAATGAAAAACGAAACACTCCTTTGACCACAGGGAGAGACGGGCAGCAGAGGAAGCAGGAAGACAAGGGCGGAGGCTGGGACAGTTTCCTAGATGAGATGCAGTGGTGGGCTATCCCGGGGCAGTGACAACTGGTGTTGTGAGAAGTGGGCCGGTTGGGGAAATATATTAGAGGCAACACTACCGGGAAGCAGAGATAGACACGATACCGGGGATAGGTGAGGGAGAGGGCTGTGTTGAGGATAACACGTCCAAAGTTGCACCCCTGTGACTTACAGCCACACTCGACCCAACGCTGCCCCATGATGCCACCGAGGAAGCATCACATCTTCCCTGAAGAAGGCAGAATAGTGGTGTGTTAAAAGCACGTTTGTTTGGGGGCCGGGTCGTATTACTTCACAACTCTGACTAGCTGTGTCATGGGATGCCGAGCAAGTTGCTTCACCTCTCTGTGCTTCACTTTCTCCGTTTGTAGCATGTTATCTGTTAACAGTTTCTTGTGGGGGTTTAGCTGAGAGGCTACAGTCACAATACGTAGGCAATTACCCGCACACAGGAAGAGCTCACAAACGGTATTATTTCATAGCCTTTGGGAATTGTAAGTGTATCATCATCTTTCCAAAGTTTTAGACCCCTCCTGTTGAGCAGGGCTGCTCACAGAGCTCAGAAAGACCAGTCAGATGAGCCTTTCCCAGCAGTATCCAGCGAACACTCCTACATCTCTCCCCTGCTTGGGAACTCTTAGCAATTCGCCTTTCCAGCAAAGTCAAGGCTAAAGCTGGGTAAGCTTGTTTCTATTTAACCTTGCCAGTCTTATCTCCCAAGGCTTCAGATCCTGTGCCTGTGTCCTGGGGCCTAGAGATGTCGAGTAACTCGTCCAAATTTCCAAGGCAATCAAGCAAGTAAGACTCTGGACTCCCAGGAGAACTGGCAATGCCTTGTAGACTCCCACCTCCGGCTGCCCTTCATTCATACCTTTCCACCATAGCTTGCCATCTTGTCTGTGGCACTCACCATCCTTCTGATGAGGGAAGAAGGTAGAGAAAGCTTGTGGGTTCAAGGAGTCCACGAACTTGGACTCCATCATGGACTCAGACAGCTACTGTACTCCCTCTGGGAGAAGGTGAACACTGATGGCCTCAAGAAGGGTGCAGGAAGGCAGCAAGTTTGGCAGGTTTGGGAGTCAGCCTTCTGGCATAGTCCTGGGACCTTTGGGTAGGCCCATTGTTGGGGCTCCAGGCTAAGATGGGCTCGGAAATTGCCTGGTCTTCTGGGGCCCTAGAGGCAGATCGTGCTGATGGCAGGGTCTCCCAGGAGGTTCAGAGAGGACACTCCTGGGGTAAAGGGAGAGGGGAGAGTTGCCCCAGGACAGAGGTGGTCGCGGTACCGCTAGGACCTTTGGGACTTGAGACCGTGTTGGGGAATGGGCTAAGGCTCTGCAGAGGTGGGGGTCTGGGTTTGACAGGTCTAGAGAACAGCTGGGTGTGGGGTGTATGGGGGATTGGGATTCCAGGCTTGGGAAATTATGAGCCTGTGGAAGTTGGTTGAGATGATGCACTGGGTTTAAGAGGTGACACGATTTTAGGGCTCCTGGGCAAGAGGATTCCAGGTGCAGAGTGTGGCAAGTTGTTCGGGTCTAGACAGCAGGAGTATGAATGTTGGAGGATCTGAAGTGTGGAGATTCCAGATGTGGACTCTGGCAGGCTTCGGGGGAGTGTGACACGAGGAGCCCAGTTTGGAGCTGTGATGCCGTGTCTGGTTTAGGTTGTGATGGAGTGCCAGGGTTTGGGGTGCTGTGGAGAAAAATGGTTCATCGTTCCAGCTTTGGGCTGGGTTGATGCCAGGATTCAGAGGTGGGAATGGTGTCTTAGAAGCCGAGGTTAACGTAACATAAAGACGCTGGTTTGATGGAGTGCTGGGCCTCAGAAGCAACAGAACACCAGATTCTCAGGGCAAAAGGGCAACAGGCTTCATCCTGAGAGTTGGCTAGATCAAGGCACCACAGTCTTGCTACGCTGGGTTTGGGGCTTTGGGTAGACTGAGTTTGATAGGGAACTAGAGCTCTGACTCAGTGGCTCCAGCTCTGAGGAATAGGCACTTTATTGGGAGAGGCACTCATAGTTGAGGTTGTTTTCACAGCCCTGGACTTGGAGGAGAACTTGGGCATCAAGGCTGGCTGAGCTGTGCCTGTTCTTAGGCCACAGCCACTGCTGGAGGAGGTTGCGGTAGTGCCTGGCATAGACGTGTTGTTGGGTGGCTGTCTCCCAGCCTCCTCACTGGCTTCTGTGGACCGCACCACTATCACTGAAGGCAGACGGGTGACAAAGTTGTATTCAAGGGACAAGTTGAGGACGTTGGCACTGAGCAGGTGGAGATCGGTGACGTCTCTGACATGGAACCCAGCATCTCTCCGATAGTGCCATAGGCCCAGAGGTGGTGGATAAAGCAGGTCACGTGGAGGGCTGCCTCCCCAACCCAGGAAACCAAAGGCCTTCTGGCTGCTGTTTGTGGCTCCTTCGCTGTGGTGTGCCTCAAGAGGCTAACCCTCGGGGCCATGGGCTGCCAGGTGGAGGCCCGGTTCCTGCTCTCCGGGCTGTATATGGCCACCCACCACCAGCTCTTTGAGCCACCAAAGTAGTTGGGGAAAAGGCCCTGCGGGCAGGCTCCAACCAAGCCACCCAGGTAGTCCAGGTGCACATCTGCTAGCAGAGGCACGGAGAGCTCTTCATAGGAGCCCGCTAGCTGGAGGGCCACTTCAGCGACCTCACGTATGCATCAGGCTGATCCCGCCCCCTTCTTCACCCCCTACCTGGGATTTCCAGGGACAGATGTCCCGGCGGTGGGAAGTTAGAATCATCTCCAAAGGCCAAGCTGAAGAAGGATACCCTGTGGCCCAGCACCTTTCAAACACTGGCAAGGATCACACTGGGTGTTGTGACGCTGACTGTAGGCTCCCCGTCTTTCAGCAAGATGACAAGAGGAATTCTCCCCACGTGGGGGACTTTCCGGACTCTCGATTGCTATAGCTCAGCACTGGAACAGCTTCCAGCACAGCTACGTTGATGTGGATGCCTAATGGGGAAGCAGACTGTGAGACCATCTTCTCTGGTCCCTTCTGCCCCTACAGTGGGTACCTCACCAACCTCCCAGCTTCAGTCATAGCTCAGCTTTTCTCAGCCTGTTTCTGCCCCTCATCCCTCCCAACCCCTCTATCCCTACCGAGGCTACCTGAGACCTGTCAGGAGGCCCACACGTCCTTGGCTTTCAACGCACCATCTCAGACCGTTCCTTGTTTGTTTTCTGGGGGATGCTTCCTTCACTATGAACACTGGCAGCTACTCAAGGATAGGGTCCCCACCTTCTTGCTACAGGAGAAGAAAAGCCTCAGTTGACAGGTGGTGGGAGATTAGACTTCAGTAATTGAGAGGAGATTGATCAAAAGCTGGAATCAGGGCAACGGTTTGCTCAAATGCTTGGAAGTGAATATCTAGGTCATTGGTTTTAAAAGTCTTAGCAAATTCTCCTGAGTGTTTGCTATAAGGAGGACAAAACTCAGGCCCAAAGAGAAATGAGCCCCTTCCACCTGGAATTAGGGGTTTCCAGGAGGAGCAGAAGATGGGAAGGGCACGCAACACGAAGGTGCAGACTTGTGCAAAATATAATAGTGAGATTTCAAAGCACAGCGAGAGGTGAGGGAGATGGGGGCAAGAAGAGAGGGTTTCAGGTATTTCCCACATCCCTACAGCCTGCGCACGGGAATAGGTAGGCTGAACACTTACCACCATCAGCTTCCTCGCGACCCGAGCAGCCTTCGGCACTGTGGATATTGGGCATAGTGGCCTCCAGATTTCCAGGCACTGACTGGGTCAGAAAAGTAGATGATGTGGAAGGAGTCATTGGCTTGCCGGTCACTGAGGATCACATTCATGGCTTTTTCAGTCTGTAGGACGGGGAAAAGTCAAGGCTTGAGGTCTATGAGCTTGACAGTCTCCGTACACTAGCGCGCTGACTGCTGTGTGCCATAAGATTTCAACATCGTCGAACTTCAGCATTCTGTGAGCCTAGAATTACCAGGTCAAAATGCTCTCCTGGGCTGTATGGTGCAAAGCCTAGAATGCCACTGTCCAGAAAGAAGTGCATTTACTAGGCATAGGTAGCCATAGAGATTGAAGTGCAAATTAATTTTAAAATTTAGTTCTTCACCGGAAATAGCCAAGACTACCTTTTTCATTTTCAAAATATTTATTTCAATAAATTTTTTTCTTTTATGTGCCTGAATTTTGCAGAAAGAATACTGACAAATGCTATACAACTCTCACCAAATATATTCTTCTTTGAAAGGTGACTGCCTTTTTTATGCATTTTCCTCCTTGCTTTGCCTTCCCCCCGAGAAATTTGCTAAAAAAAGAAAAAAAGCAATTCCATGGAACAATGGAGAAAAGACCTCTGGTGTCGCCTGAGTCTGGCTGGGGCTGTTCAGCAGTACAGGCCAGGCGGAGGGACGAGGGGGTCCTCTGGGAGCTTGTGCTGGATTAGGAAGCCGCTTCTGTGGGAAGCATCTCTGTTCCTCATTAATTTACCCTCCCCAGGTGGGCTCAGGTCCTGAGGTTCCACCGATTACCAGTAAAAGTGAAGAGGAAAAAAGGGATAGAACTGGCATGGTGCAGGGAAAAAAGGGGATAAGAGAGGGATGGAAAAGACATAAGAATCAAGAGAGAAGAAAAGGGAAAGGACATCTGCCTTAGCCCCTTTCTTGTTTCATAGATCCAATAAGAATGCCAGGGCCCGTCATGTGCCCGGCACTTTTAGTCCAGGGCTGCCAGGGGCCATGACAGTAGGCTGGGGCGGGAGATAAATCCCATTCCACTTTGGGGGTTCTGGGTCCCATGCTTTGGGAGCAATGGAGAAGTAAGCGTCTGGGTGTTTCATGGCTGGAGCTGGAGAGCAAGTCCCTTCCATTAGGAGAGAGCGGTGGTTCGATGAGGACTCGTGGCCAGTCGCTACTGTATCAGGCAGCACAGAATTTTAGAACATTTCCTCTAGGTGGCTGTGATAGCAAGCACCTGTAATCCCAGCTAGTTGGGAGGCTAGGGCCAGATGACAGTATGCTTAGGGCCAACTGGGGCAACTTATTAAGAAGACCCTGTCTCAAAATACAAAGGGCAAAGTTTGTAGTTCAGCGGTAGAGTGCTTGTTTAGCATGAATAAAGAAGCCCTGGTTTCAATCCCCGGTACCACACACACACACACACACACACACACATAAAAATACTACTACTACTGCTGCTACTACTACTGCTACTAGTACTACTACTACTAGAACATCCTCATTATCAAAAAGCTTCTACTGGACAGCAGCAGTCTAGCAAGATTCAAATTGTATGTTTGCAGAGCATTTCTTTTATAATTCCTCACCCCGTGACCCAGGATTCAGTGATTTCAGATCCCTAAAGGTGGAGATCCTCGGGATTTCAGGTCTTTACAGCTGTCTCTCAGAGACTCTGCACACTTTGGTTCTGCTCTCCTCTGTTTTTCATTCTCACCCTCTGTTTCTTTCAGGCTAGTCTCCTCGCCAGCCTCCCGATAACACAGATTCTATTTCACCTCCGTAATTTTGCTCTTCTTGTGCCATTTAGATAACACCCCCATTTATTTATCCACATCCTCATTGATGGTGCTGTTCTTCATGACGGATTTCTGCCTGTGGGAATCTGTCAATGACTGATAGAGGGTTGGGGAAATCTCCAGCTACAACAGTCATCTCGTCTCGCTCTCCTTCCGGTTCTAACCGATTTACCTCATGTATTTTGGTACTGTTATTAGGCGCATACGCCTGAAGGATTGGTATAGTTGAGGTGGGGGGATTGAACATTATGCACTTATGTTCCCTGTGATTTCCTTGCTGTGCAGTTTTAGCTGCCATAAATTAACACAGCTACCCCAGATTTCTTTGGATTTGTGTTGGTATTGGTGATGCCGCTCTGTCCCTTTTCTTTTCGTCTACCTGTATCTTCATATTTAAAGTGGGTTTTTAGCCAGGTTTGGGGGTACATGACTGTGATCCTGGCACTCTGGGAGGCTGAAGAAGGAGGGCTGCTTTTAACAGCCCAGCCTGGGCGACTTAGTGAATGTGTGAGACCCCAATCTCAGAAAAAGAAAGAGACAGAGAGATTAAGAGAGAAAGACAAGAAGGAGAGAAAACAATATTTTGGGTTTCTTATGAATAACCTGCAGTGAGTTTTTTGTGTTTTGTTTTTTTTGTTTGTTTGTTTTTTTGGTCATCCACACAGATGACCTTGGTCCTTTCATTGGTGTATTTCAACCACTCATACATAAAGTGGTGACTGGTATAGTTGGATTGATATTTGCCATGTTTGTATCTGATTTTTGTGTTGCCCTTCTTCTTTATTTGTGCACCTTTCTTCCACTCATTTTCTCTCTTTTCTAGTTTTACTTGCACACTTTACCCAATTTCATCTTCTCCCCCTTTTTTTTTGGCATATCCGTTACACATAAGGTAAAGTTTTAGTGGTTGCCCGAGAGGTTCTCATATGCATTTGCAACTAATCCACGTTTATTTCCCAATTTCTCTCGCTCATCCCTTCTACTACTACTGTCATTGAGTGCACTTCCATAAGCTATACTCACGGAATACATTGCTGCTATTATTGTGAAGAGACTTTACCTGCTGGAGCCATTTCAAAAGAAGATACTTTATCTTCACCTTTTCCTTCTCTAACATTTGTCTTGCTTCGTGGACGTTCCAGTTTGTGATATATGCCGTTTTTCTCCTTGGTGAAAATCTTTGGGCATTGCCGCTGAAACAGGGCCACCGTGGACAATTCCCTCCATTTTTGGTTGTATGAAAAAGTACTTATTCCTTTCATCTTGGAAGGATCATTGCGATGTCTAAACCGTTCTAGGCTAGGGTGGAGTTTGCTGCTTTAACACTGGACATATCGCGCTCCACCCTTCTTGATTCCATGATTCCTGAAGAGAAGTCTGATGCAGTTCGTTTCCTTGTTCCTCAGTAGGTAAGATGTTCTTCCTATGTTCTTTTCCTTTGTCTGTTTAGTTTTCTTTTTTTTTTCAAGATTTGCTCTTTGTCTTTGATTTTCTGATGTCTGTATATGTCGCACCTACGTGTGGATTTGGGATGTTCATCCTGCACGTTGTACTTCACGTTTCCTGGAGCTGTGGTGTGGTCTCTCCTTCCCTTTGCAAAACTTATCTCCATCGTTATTTCAGATATTTCTTCTGTTAATTTCTTCCATATCGTTCCAATTCTATATGTGTTATATCTTTGTAATGGCCGTACAATCACCGAATGCAATGTAAAACGGAATGGGGTTTTTCCATTTCTTTCTTGTTTATTTTTCAGAGTGAGAAGTTTCTACTGGCATACATTGAAAGTCCCTCCTTCTTCAGCCATGTCCGTTCTCCTGATAAGCCCACTGCAGCGTTTCTTCACTCCTGATACTGTGTTTTTTATTTCTAGCATTTCCTTTGATTTTATCAGGGATGCTCGATCTCCACTTACATTACACTTGTGTTCCTACCCATTGTCCAATTACTTCCTAGGAGGGCTTGGAATATTAATCATGCTTGTTTTAAATTCCTGCTCTGATAATTTTAACGTCTTTCATATATCAGCGTCCGGTTCAAATGGTACCTGTACCTCTTCAGATTGTGAGTGTTTCTCTCTCACAGCATGTCATGTAATTTTATGCAGAAAGCTTACCCAATCTATCAAGTACCAGGAAGTGAAGCAAACAGACTTTTCCCACCTGTGCTGGGGACTGCCCTCAGGAATACTTGAGCTACATCAGCAACCGTTTTTCTGTTTTGTTTTGTTTTAAACGGAGAGAGCGTATTGCTCAGTTGCCTAGGCAACGCTCCAACTCATGATCCTCCTGCCTCAATCTCCTACGCAGCTAGAATTACAAGTGCACAACACAATGCCGGCCATGTTCTCGATGCCAGGACTTAGGCTGTTTGTTGTTTGCAGTAGTTGTACGGTCAGTCTGTAGTTTCATCTAGAGTCTATACATGGGACTTGGCTTTTGTCTTTGGGCTCCCACTGGGACTTCTCTTCAAGAAGGGGCAAGGCTTGCACTTGCTTCAGCTATGACCTTCATATGCTGGGCAGGAGCCTCGGTTGACGTGGTGTTAATGTGTGGGGCAAGAGGGAGGATTCCATGATCCTGTGGTTAGCTGTCACTCTTTCAGTGAGATAGTGCTACTGGCATATGAAGTTCACAGGTGCTCCTGAGGTCTCCCCTTCATCCTCCAGAAAGAGACGGGAAAGCTGGAAAGGTTTAGAGTTGGGTAGGCCACTTGTCCTACTCAGGGCTGTGGAGCCGGTTTGGGATATTTCCCTTCCCCCAAATTGGTGGTCTCTGGTAAAACACCACTCACTTAGATTTAGGTCTCAAAGGCTCTGTGGTGGAAAGCTTTAAGCACGGGGGCTCTACTGGCCCAGGACACTTGAACCTTCACAGTAGAGAGTCCCAGAACATTACGGTTTGAAATGTTCCTTCCAGACCTTTGTGGCCTGAAGGGCTAACATCAAAGTCTCCTTGGTCTACGGCCCCAATATCTTCATTCAACGGTAGCTGGTTGAAGAGCTACAACACTGATAATAAATGTCCTCAGAAGTCTATGGTTTTTGAAGTGGATAATGCCAGCTAGTACCCTATTACATTTAAACTTAAAAAAAAAAAACCCAAATTAACAAAGCGCAGAAAATGCAGTCTCACGAAAAATCAGAGTCTATGTTACTTAAGGTCATATTAGATCCGGCGTCTATATCCAAGCAGAGTGCTCCAGCTCAAAGGTTCCAAGACCCGGGGACCTACAGAGCCCTGGAATTTTGCAGTTCAGGGAGTCAACGGTGTCGGGAAACCTAGACCAATGTTTCAATGTTGCTGGGACTCGGTGCGGCTGTAGGTCTCTGTGGTTCCTGTTCTGTGAGGTGCCGGGGCCTTATGGCAGTCTCAGACATAAAAGAGCCAGGGTTGATGGGCCGATGGCCTGATGGGAGGGTAGCAATTTGGTCCCGGGGTCCCATCGCTGCAGCATTCTCTGCTCTCTGGGCCTCCTAAGGCCAGGACTAACAAAGGTCCCCAGGGTCCCTGTTACCTGCTCTATCTTGCTACCAAACATGGAGCTGCTCACCTCAGTAACAAACACCACGTTCTTCTCCTCGGGTTAGGGGACCTCGGGACAAATTAATGAATAAAACAACCACTGCAAATCTGGACAAAAAGAAAGGAAACCACGAAGAGCTGGAAGAGCCAATCCAGATCAGGCTCCTCTTATTCTCCTGCGTAACACCTTGCTCTTTCCTTCCTAACGCCTCTCACTGTTTGTAGTTCAATGGGCGTGTGTGCAGCTGTTTGTTCAGTGTCTGCCTCCCCAAGCAGAAGTGGGTCTCTGTGTTCAGACTTGTGGCCCAGGGCTCCAAGCAGCCGGGTCTCCGTCATTTGTGAGTTCCTTCCTGTGAGAGAGCTGGGCTTGCACAGTGTTGACGTTCCCAGGGGACATTTTTGCCTGGGTTCCAGGAACTGCAAGTATTGTTTTAACCTCCCTCAGCAGAGTGAGCCTGGGGCCCAGCTCACTGCTGCCCAGGGCTGGAAGATTGCAGGGCCTCTCTCTCTCCTCCACATGCCTCCTCTCTTCTGTTGCTGGGCAGAGACGCAGGGGGAGGAGGCAGCAGAAGCCAATTGAGCTCTTTGTTCAATGGGGATTGGTTATACCAGGTACAGATGCCTTGGGCTGTCCCGGATGTGATTGGGTGCACACACACACACACACACACACACATTCACACACACTGCTTTTGTGAGCACGCGAGCGCACACACACTCGCATATCTGTCTCTGCAGAGCCCAGGGGCTGAGCCAGCTGAGAGAAGGGACCAGTGTCAGCTCGGTCCAGAGATGCCTGGGGTTGCAAAGGGTTTGTATTACCTTGAGGCCCGAAGCCTAAGCAGGCCATGCCCAGGGAAACTGACTCTTCCTCCTCTGTGCTCTAGGCACTCTAGGACAGCGTAGGTAGTGTTCCGTTCCTCACCCCAACCTTGAATTCACATGGGCATCCTCTCTCGTCACATAGCCTCTGCACTCTGCCACAGTTCCCCTAGGCCTGCGTCATCCGCAGCACCACCGACCAAACCACGAGCCGAAACCAGCTGGTCTCCTGGGTGCCTCCCCTCCTGGGTGGGGAGTCCTACCGGAAAAGCCAGGCTCACCTATATCTGATCCCATGCTATCTGTGCCTCAGCTTCCCACTCCGCAACATGGGGACAGGGCCCAGATCACCAGCTTCTCACAATTCCCTCAGCAGTCACCCCACGCCAGCTTCTCAACCCAGGAGAAAACATGGCGGGCACCAGTCTGCGCACTGCCTCGGACTGCCCACCCTGTTCCTGGGCAGGGCCCACATGCCCTTAGCCTCTCTCCTCTGCGCCGAAGCACACAGTCTGGCCACAGACCCTAGACACTCCCAGGCCTCAGCATTCCCTATCCTTCAATTCCCTGCTCACCAATCCCCCACCCGCCCATATGCACTTTCCTGGACTTTCCTTACAATACAGAAATCCTGTGTCTTTCCCACCCACTCGGATGGGCCCTCCCTCCCAGCCTTCCTCAAACTTCTAATCCGCGGTTCATCCCTGCAGTATCCCAGGTGAAAGGATGAGCACCTGCTGTCCTCTCTCACCTGCAGTTCACACCTGCAGAACTCCCGGGAACACTCCCACCCCCGACCCTCACTGACACCTCTCTCGCTAAAGGCAACTATGCACAGCTTGTCTCCAAACCCAAGGGGGCATAGTTGGAGTCTCCTCACGCTGGACCTCCCTCATGTGCTCACTGCTGACAACGACTTCTTTCTCTAAAACCCTTTCTCCCTGGGACCCTGGGGCTGGCTGCTCTCTGTATTCGACAACCTCTGGGCCCATCTCATTCAGTGTCTTTCTCTAGGTTCCTTTTCTCCCCATGCCCCTTAGCAGCACTTCCCATATCTGTCAGGTCATAGAACGTGATTATGACGCTTGCTCAATGGAGGAAACTGGTGGGGATTTGGGTGGGCTGGGGGGAGTCTGAGCAGCCTGTTTGCAGTTGGTTGGCCCAGACACCCTGAGACCTGAGGTCCATGGCCGCTGCACCCACCGGGCAGCTCCACCTGAGCTGTCGTCATCTGGGGTCTTCACTCCCGGTTCCACGCGTTAACCGTGGGTGACCTCGCTCTCTCTCCTTCGGATGATACCACTGAATTGCCACTAGTGACCCCGCGTCTCTTTCTGCAGTCCAGTGCACTCACTCTTCCACCTGCAGGACTGCGCACCCACTCACCGGGGAGCTGTTCACTTGGATGTGTGACGGTGCCTCCAACGCATCCTTTACCTGCATCATCCACGGTGCCACTGAGCAAGCCACGAGCAGAAACCAGCTGGTCTCCTGTGTGCCTCCCACGTGTGGGTGTGTAGACCCCCTGCACCAACGGTGAACTCATCGCCGTCCCCCCAAGCAGCCCTTGTGTGGTTTTTCTCTGCAGGGGCACCACCGACCTCAGGGTCACTCCTCATACAAATATGAGTGTCACCTTCAATTCTCCTGTGCCCAGCCAGCCAGCCATCAATTCCCGCTGTTTTTTCCGAAGGAGTCTGCTCAGGGCCATCTCACCGCTCCACCCCAAACTGCCCCGGCTCTGACTCAGGCCTGGCTTTGCTTAGGTTCTCCGTTCCTACTCACAGGCCCTCCATCCCTGCTGGGTCTCCGTACCCACCACCGCGCAAGTTCACCTGCACCAACAAACCGCTGGTTTCTTGTCACGCTGCTGCGAGACTTGCCAGCCTTCCGTCTCATCTCTTACCATTTTGCATTCCTATTTATCCCACGGTTACTCCCCGGGAATACCTGGATATTTCCAGCCTCCGCTCTTCTTACCGTGCATCCCCCACTCTGCTAGCATTCTTTCCCCTCTCCTCAGGGGCCCCTCACCTTGCCCACTTCCCTACATCCTTTAAGTCCCAGGTCAGCCTTGACCTCCTCTGGGGAAACTTCCCTGGCTGTCTTTGGCCCCTCACTCTGGCTTCTGTCGTGCCTTGTCTTCCAGGCAAGAGGGCGTGCCTCACCTCCTGTCAGCATCCTCTCTATCTGTGACCCCCACAGACCTGTGAGTGATATCCTTCGCGGTTCCCAACACCAGCCAGCACAGGCCACGACACGGATTAGGTGAGCAGTGAATCCCGACGGAATGAGCCAGTGATGTTCTGGGCTTGAAAGGTGGGCACGCTCACATAGGACCTAGGACATGGCCGGAGGGCTCCTGCTGGGGTGGCGGCAGGAGTCAGAGTTCACAGTCCATGGAACTCTTGGCTGTGCTGCTCCCATCTGTTCCGTCTGCACGCTTTCCTCTGAAGAATTGTGAACAAAGTAGTCCACGCAGTAGCGGACAGTTGCTCCGTTGCGCTAAGTACACTCACATGCCAGAGACAAGGTGAAAGTCCCTG